AAGGAAACCAGGACAAAATATACACAGGCATAAAAGCCAATTAGCGAGTGAATATTGCAGTTCCAGAAAAAAAAAACACGCCTTATAGGACATTAGGAAATACAGTAATAGTACTGGTGGAAGTACCCATTTCCTTAAAGGAGTCATTCGGTATTTATTAACGAAACAGCTACTGTCTGGTGAAAATTAAATATTTTTTTAAATCATTTTTTCAGTAAATTAAAGTTCTGAAGATCATAATATATTACGGCTCTTTCTAGTATTTTAAAATCTTTGGTTAAAGATAGTATAGAATTATTTTAAATCTTCTGTTTAATATAGTCTGGAAAATAAAATTATCTTCCTTCCCACTTACATGCGTTACCCATTTTTTTTTTTTTTTTGGTTGCTGTTGGATGATATCGTAGTACCGTTTCTGATTTTTCCTACATCTCTTTGTCTAGTGCCAGTCTATAAGGTATGATGAAGGATTGTCTACTTTACGACCTAAACGAGTAATTGGCTTGAAGGCATTTTTAATCATTGGTCTGAGAAAACGGTTGCATAAACGTGGACATATCGACCACATTTTACCATAGAACGTTCATTTTCTTCTCAAGTATACATAGAACATTCCTGAATTAAAACGGGTCTGATCAGACATTAAGGGGAAAATAACTCTGCATTACTAAAACTTTGCGACTAAAATTATAATAAAACGTCCTGGGTATGACGATAAACTACATCCGACAGCAAAACCTTTGAAATTGGATGTTTTGAGGAGCATGCAATTACCTCTTAATTGTTGTTGTTAACAGGTCTACCCTGGCCCGGTATGGTAGCACCTGTTATATTCAAAGGTATGGGAAATAGTTAACCACAAAATTGGAGTGGAAACATTATGAAAATATAAAAATACAATTTTATAGTAAAAATACCAGCAACACAAATTACTAAAAATACGTTTGTAAAAAAAAAAAAAAATTACTATTAATACATTTTGTAAAGAAAATGACTAATGCTCCCGAGAAAATTAAATTTCGGCATTAAATGGCCCAAATGACCCATGAGCAGTTGATATGCCGAAAAAAAAAAAAAAAAATGAATAGGCGTACAGATCTTGTGTCTGAACGCTTGTGTACATGATTTTGACAAATGTATTTTTGATCAGTTTTATTCGTGTAGCTGTTTTGGCTGCTCTTGTTTTGGTGGGGTGTGGTTAAAAGAAATCTCAACTATAATTGTCTATACCGATAACTATGACTTTATAATCTGTCCTGTTAACATTGTGTGATTATTTTAGATCACGATTCTAAAAAAAAAAAAACAAAAAACAAAACAGCAATAAAAACAAAAATTGTATGGGTTTTCATTTTTTTAAATACTATAAGTAAAAAGATTTTTAATCATTTTGGATTTTCTGATTTTTTTTAAATAAGATTTACAAATATTTTTATTTTATATTCACATAAATAAATGATGTTTTATATTTTACGTAATCATTTTGCAGATTTGAAATCTCTGAAAGATTTTTTCAATTAATAATCAGGTCTTAGAATTTACAAATTATATATTTATTTTATATTTCCATAAATAACGCTATGCCTGTTTTATATAAAATTATACACGTCTGACTCAGATTATACCAAGAGTGTGTGAGTGCACCTTCAAAAATCAAGATAAGAAGAAACTGGCAGCTTATCTCTCCTATACTCTGACCAGCTCTAACAGCTTAATTGGGGCCATCAAAGTGCAGAACATAGATTTTCGCATAGTGTTTCTCTGGTTCTCCCTCTTGCCTTCAAGGTCGATTGGGACTCGGGCTTGCCTTCAACGCCGATATGTACTCGAGCTTGCCTTCAACACCGATTAGAACTCGACCTTGCCTTCAACGCAAATTGAGACTCGAGCTTGCCTTCAACGCCGATTTGGACTCGAGCTTGCCTTCAACGCCGATTTGGACTCGAGCTTGCCTTTAACGCCGATTTGGACGAGCTTGACTTCAACACCGATTGGGACTCGAGCTTGCCTTCAACGCCGATTTGGACTCGAGCTTGCCTTCAACGCCGATTGGGACTCGAGCTTGCCTCGAAGTTCTCTTGGGAGTCAAATTCTTTACAGACTTGAAGTAGAATTTATACGACCCATCGCTGCAAAAATTATCGGTTCTTTGTACCGTTCCCTTTTCCTATCATTAGAAGAGCCAGATCGGCAAAAGGAGGTGGGATGTTGTCATATTAGGGCTGGAGTTGCCCCGTCCGCACTTTCCTGTCTTGATAACATTCAGAAGAGTTTTTGCAGCCTTGTTGATGAAGAATAATTTTCCACACTACAACTCCTATCCCACAGACGAAACAAGTCAAACCTTTTACTTCTCCATATTTCAAAATGTCCTGACAACCTCTATTTCATAGTTCCAATGTTCTGGCCTTCACAGCTAAGACCGGCCATGGCACTTACATTTGTATCTTATTAGTAAGAAGGAAACCCCATTCGGACAGCTTCTTTGCAAGAAACTTTACTTTTGATAAACGATGTTGTCTTTTCTACATATCCTCATAAGCTGCATTTCTTACCTTCTCCTCTTACACTCAATAACCCCAATCAGTAACCCTTTGTCTTGTGTGACTTTTGGGAGAAAAATAAAATAAGTTAATCCTTTATGCAGGATATGAAGCAATATTATAACCCCGCTAGCTGTTCTGTTGTGTTTTCTCTAAAAGCACATTTTTCCTGGGTGGAGTCTTTAGACCCATACCCAATGTGTTTTAAATTCAGTTTGGTTGCCAGTCGAAACTAGAGCGTCCAAAATGTATAAATGAAGATGTATTCATACATTTACAAGTGTTAGGTTTTAGAAGGCGTATTTCGCTATTTCCATGCAGCTTCGAGTTTCGGTGTCTGTAAACAGATATTTTACATTCAGAACGTTATTTTAATGCATATCCGTGTTTGAAATAGATGCTCCGTTTTTATTTTTAAACAATATGTATTACATCTATCCGAATGTGCAATTGAGAAAACATACTAAAAAATGCTATATATATATATATATATATATATATATATATATATATATATATATATGGTGGACTCTCCCGTCGTATTCGAAGTATGAGGGTCAAGCAACCGACAGCCCAGACACCAGAGCATATAAATTTTGATTATAGTGGTGAAGGCTTTGTGCAGAACAAACCACACTTTTTGAAGGACCGAATACAGAGATCTAGTACCCTATGTGCCACAAGGTCCTCAAACGACACTCTGCAGGTTTTGAATTCAGAGTTTTCCTTCTCTTAGAATAGATACTATCCAAGGCAACAGAATCCAGTCTGTCCTGCTATTTACTCATAGATGGAGAGCGAAGTAGAGGATTAATACCTTCGCCAAGTGTATTAGCACGTAAGGGAATCTAATGGATTCGACTGGAATTCGAACTTGACACTCTGATTCCTCAATCTTAACTACTATATCTCACTACTATATATATATATATATATATATATATATATATATATATATATATAATTATTATTAACCATGCACACTCAAAGGCGCAGTGTAAGACATTTGACTGGTTGCTCTACCAAGGCTAATATACACGGCGACGTTTCTCATCATTTACATATTTATCTGCTTAATTTAATCATGCTTTATTCGGTTTTTATCTATTTATAATGTTGGTTGGTAAATAAATAGATGTATTTATTTGCTTATACAGAAAAACTGACCGGGAGTTATAAACTTTGTAGCAGTTCATATCTCCTGGTCAACATTTTTCTTCAAAAAAAAAAAAAAAAAAAATTGACAAAGCCTTTAATACAACTAAGAAAATTGCATTTTAATAATACTTTGATTATATCATTATTACTTTCTCATACATGTAACCGAAGGGTATATTTGATCCTCGAATCATTAATAATTTATATTCTAAAAAAATAAATCTAGGAAAATAATATTTCTAATTTTTACGTTAAGTTTTCTGTGTTGTTTTGCTTTAGGTATTAAGCACTGGAGAAAATGATGTATCAACGTTGTGGCAGTTCATCATATCAGACGAGTGAGGTATTGTTCGCATGAATATTTGAGGTTAAACTGTTTATATTTATCTAATGAACACTAATTATGACATAATTACTAAAATAGATTAAAACGAATAAAATATAGAGCGACATTAGTAAAAATAAAAATAAAATAAAAATCTAATCGAATATGAAATAAACGAACGAAAATAGAAAGGAAATTAACAATTTGAAAGAGAACGAGAGACAGAAAGAAAATGAAGTCATTGTACAAAGAAAGAAAGAAAGGAAAGAAAAGAAAGGAATGGAAGAAAAGTAGAAAGAAAGGAAGAAATAAAGAAAGGAATGAAGAAAGGAAGAAAGAAGGGAAGAAAGGAAGAAAAAGGAATGAAAAGAAGGAAACGAAAAGAAAGAAAAGAGAGAAAAGAAAGTTGAGACCAAAAGAAAGGAAACAAAGAAAGAAGGTAAACAAAGAAAAAAAGGAACCAAAGTAAAAAGGAAACAAAAAAGAAAGAAAGAAAGAAACAAGCAAAAAGAAACAAACAAAAAAGAAACAAATAAAAAAGAAACAAAAAAGAAGAATCAAACAAAAAAGAAAGAAACAAAAAAAGAAACGAAAAGATGGAAACGACAAAAAAGAAAATAGAGACCAAAAAAAAAAGGAAACAAAAAAGAAAGAAAGAAGGAAACAAATAAAAAAGAAAAAAAGAAACAAAAAAGGAAGGAAGAAGGAAACAAATAAAAAAGAAAGAAACAAAGAACCAAAAAAATAAACAAACAAAAAAAGAAACAAATAAAAAAAGAAACAAACACACAAAAAAAGAAATACAAAAGTAGTACGATGGTACAGTGAGGAAGGGGAAGAAGGGTAAGAAAGAGAAGGAAGCGAATAATTGTTTCAAGCAATTCCTGGCAATCATTCTTAGTCGCTTGAGGGAGGCAAGCCAATTTTAATTACGATGAAAAGCACTGAGAGTTTACACTGCCTGCCACTCTCAGTTTTCTTCAACCGCCTCCTCATTTTTCTCTCATTATTTGCTTGCCTCTTCCCCATTTTCTCCTGCTAATCCCCTCTCTACTCCTCCTCTCTGTGACCTCGTGTTACTCCCTTCTTATAAATGCCAAAATTAATTAACGTTTAATCTTAATTACCACATTAAAAGAAACATTTTTGTTTAAATTTATTTTTTTTATTTTAAATCAACAGAGAAATCCAGAAAATTAATAAGAAATAATTCAATTGAACACCTGCAACTACCACTAGGAATAAAATTCAATTAAATTAAAAATAAAATCATATTATAAAAGGTAAAAACCATTTTTTTCATTTGTATGATGTTTCGCACTAAACTGTAAATCCATTTTTATCCTATGAACCAACATCCTATCAAAGGCAGTTAGTACTGCCAGGATTACGTAACTGTTTTAGGCTGGTATGTTTTGGGAAATTTGTTATGAACATGATTCCACAATTTTGATTTTCAATCTGATATTGTAAATGTTTCTGAATGATTACTTCTAAAATCTGAGGTACATCTGCCTTCGGTATATTTGTCAGCTTATTAAACGAATGTTTAAAATAATCCGGATTGCACAAAAAATAAATGGGACAAGAGAGTTAACTTCTCAGCTATACACTACCTTAAAGAATCAGAATTGTTATTCTGAAATTTATCAATTCAAATCGAGTGGTTTCAGATGAATATCAGTTATAAGCCTCAGAGGCCGTCCGCCCTCGTATTATCTTTTCTTCGAAAGAGACTGGGATCATTATCCGGGGCCTTAGACGTCTACAGATGGGAGAAGTGTCATGAGGCGTGTGCAAAGCTATTAGATCCCATGTAAACTTGACGTTCTGTACGGGTAGGTGCATGAAGAAATATCTATATTACTGATAATTTAAAGTTAACCATCAAAACCATTTCCACGATTTTACATCTTGTCAGCTGTGTCTTGAGAGAACAAACAAGATTTGTACCCTGGAGTAACTTGCATTTGGAAAGAACAAAGAAACTTTGTAAATTCACAAAAGAAACTTTAGATGACAATTCCGCAATGTTGCCAATGAAAGAAACGTTTCTGTTAATAAACATTAAACATCTATTTTTGACCGGGATAAAAGTGTAGCTCTTAGGGGCCTGATAGAGTAAAAAAGTCACCGCCATTGATTTTTAATAAATATTGTTCAAACTTTTACACTTCACCGTAATTTCAAGCGATAAATTTTGACAAGCAAAACTTGAAGCCCATATCATTTCAGCAGTAAAATAGAAACAATAGTATTCAAATGGATTACAAAATAAAATATTACGAAATAATGTTTACTGTCTGTGTTATAATCGGATTAAAAGAAACATCTATTCGTCTGTTTGGAATATCAAATATTGTCCCAACAATTATATTGATATTTGTAGATGACAGAATATTAGCAAGTTGACTTGGTTTTCTTCCAAGAAAAAGAAGCTGGTTCAATGGCCGTAATATTGATAGGAGATTGGTCGTTAATGAAAGTATTATGGATCTTATTATTATTCTATGTGCTGTGTCCCTCTAGGACGTTGGCAATCATGACTACAATTTCCTATCCTTTGTAGCTCTTAATATATATTGTCTTTTTATTCCGCCATTCATTTACTCAGTCTCGCTAGGGGGTTATATGTTATTTTCTTCAGTCTCTATTGCCTTCAAGTTGCCCTGTGAGTATCAATTTTTTTCTAAGACGACGAGAAAAAGGGAATACAATACACGGAAAGAAACTGTAGTAGTAGACGTTGCAAAGCATTTTCAAATTGTTTGTGATTCTGATTTTTCTTTTGAAATATTACACTTATTATAATATAAGGAGTTCGCTACCTACTATCTTTTAACATTAATAGAATCGTGCTACAAATTAGATATACTGAAGCCTATATTGTATTCCGAAAATTGAGTGTATACGCGGATATTTTTTTTAGAATGATGTTAACCCAGGATAAGGTCCAAGAATTACTCGATGTAGAGTGTCACAGAATTGAAGGGAGGATAGCGGTTAACCATAAACTTGAACAGGTTAAGGTCATAGTGATCGGGGAAACATCCACTTGTTATTTGATTCTGCAATACATTGGAAGAATCTACTCGAGTGGAACTTACATCTCACCAAAAAATACGAATGAAATAAGAGTGGTTCCCTAGAATATTTTTATATTGCAGTTATCAAGGATACAAGGAAACGGAAGAGAGTTCCAGAGATAAGAAGTACGAGAAAATAAGCTGTAGGAGTGGCGGTTGCATTTAGGTATATCACAGTAAAATGCTAGTTGCCAATCTATTAGCACGTTTAAATTCATATATCCGGAGTACTGGGGAAAAAAGCTCATTCGAACAATTGATATGAAAATATTTGTAGAAAAGACAGAGGGAATCCACGTTACGCTGGTGAGAATGTGACTAAAGCCAAGATTCCTATTCAGGATCGATTATATTCAAGATGCTTCTTTGGATTTTTTCAAGAATCTCCATATGTACAGCATGAGCAGCAGACCAGATACGGCAACAATATTCAATGCATGGAGGAATGATAAATTTGTAAATGTGCAAGATGGATTCTGAGAAGAAAAAATTATGGCAAGGGACAGTGACCCAACATTCCTTGCAACAAATGCCGCTATTGATTCGATGTAATCGCCCAACTTCATGTCAGTGGAATACGTGAGACCAAGATGTCATAATGTGTTGCTCTCCTGGAGTTTAGAATCAGCCAGGTTGATGGCAGACAGAAAAGTTAATGAAGTGCGGGATCTGTTATTCTTATTCTTTTATGACATTGACGAGAGTCCTCCCCACAAATTGCCTGTCCTTTGTAGTTTTAATACATTTTCTCTTTTTGATATCTCTCCTAAACCTTGTTCTGCCAACCTTTTACACTATACCTTTTTTTCCTATGTCCTATTTGCCATCAAGTTTTTATGTGACTGCCAGTTTTTTCTAAGCCCTCTTTCTCTCTGTACATTGAAGTTGAATTCACTTCCTAATGACCATCGGTCGAAAGTAAATGTTTCGAATCAATTTTGTGACAGGTCTTGTGAACGATATTTCTGGTAGTGGTTATGTTCAGCTTTAGTCATTTATTTACTTGTAAAAGTATTTTATCGTTTTACATAATTGGCCTTGTGTCACACTAAGATTTTTAATACATTGATAATTTATACTAATGAGTGAATAACTTCTCAATACGAGAAGCCAAATATGACCAATATTAAATACAAGAAAAGTATTTTTGGAGACATTTCCTAGAATTGCATTTTAAACAGCATCCTTCACACTATACATTACCATATATATGAAATAAGAAAATAGGATTTTGATGAGAATACCACTCAGTTTGTTATCCCGAGGAAATATTTCCGATATTTCAAATTGAAATGTTTGTGGAAAAAATAATAACCATATTGAACTAAACAGAAAAAAAACAACATTTTCTTAAAAGTTATTAAAAATTTGGGAATCAAAGATTTGTAGTTAATGTAAATATTTACTTTATGATAGTTAGATGTCAAAAATATGATGTCTTTATAAAACTGACTGTTGCAGACAACTGGTGAAATAAAAAAAGAATCTGCGTCAACGGTATTGTTGCGGACCCGGCAGCGTGCAGTGCTGGTTTATTACTAAGTGGCCTTGTGCTAAACACCGCACTAAACTACCGAGTCCACAAGCAATGTATAAAAAAAAATAAAAAATGCGATAATGCGTGAATGAACAGTGAGAGGAAAGGGGTCAATCAACAAGTGCATAAATTAATAAACATCAAAGAGATAGCCGAAATAAAATGACAAAGACATCTGTTTGTAAAACATGTGTAACTTTAATTAGATGGAAACAAGTAACTTATCTCGTGGGATGAGAGTAATGAAAAATGTCCCGCGCCAAAATAGAAAGCAAGATGGCTAAGGCGGGAAAAAGAGTTTTATAAGGTTCTGGAAAAAGGATGTGCGCACAGATAGAAAGGAGTACTCACTGTGGATTTTTTTTTTTGGTGTTGTAAGTGTGTGTGGTATTTTTGTGTTCAGGTTCATAGTTAGAAAGAATGTTCGGTCGTCTCAGAGTTTTTGGTGAGGCATTGAATTGGCTGCTGGAAATTTTACCGGAATGATGTGGGCATCTAGCCAGGAGAAACGAAGAATGTTTGAAGCGAGTTTCATGGTCTTGTGGAGTTGTTTACGCCGAGCCCAGAGAGACGAAAAATGTTTGTTCGTAAGTAAGAATATCGCTGTCTGTATTTACTGGTTCATTGACGAGGGGTAAGTGTAAGTCACCTGTTGAACACGAAGTTTTGCCCACGACTGTGTCGTGTGTCTCGAACATTTTCTAGCAGAAAACGGAGAAGGTCTGACCTGCGGATAGCAAGTTGTTCGTCAGTAGGATATCCCTGTCTGTATTTACTGGTTCACTGACGAGGGATAAAAATAAGCCATTAGTTGAATACGAAGTTTTGCTCACGACTGTGTCGTGTGTCTCTAACGTCTTCTGGTCGAAAACGGAGAAGGTCTGACCTGCGGGCAGCTTCAAGACGAGAAGAAGTCTTGGTAAAGTGTGAGGTCGCCATTGTTGAAATAAGATATTCCGGCCTGCATATGGGTTAAGGGCACGGAATAAATGAGTTGCCCATCTACTCAGGTTGAGGATCGGGAAGCAACTGGTTGACCTGCGGGTAACGTCAAGACGAGAAAAGGTCTTGGTAAAGTGTGAGGTCGCCATTGTTGAAATAAGATATTCCGGCCCGCATATGGGTTCAGGGCACGGAATAAATGAGTTGCCCGTCTAGTCGGGTCGAAAGTCGGAAGGCAACTGGTTTGCAAACGCTGGCCGTTTGAGACGCCGCGAAACGCGCGGGAAAAAATTCAAAATCTGTTAGTCTGAGTTCATCAGTAGGAGCTAGCGAAGGTTACTGCTATGTCTAGCTGTGAGAGGAAGGAAAGGGTGCAAACCGCGCGCACACACGCACGAGTGTGAAAGGAAGGGAGGAAACTCGCACGCGCGTAAAATATAGATGGAATTAATGTGTTAATTCCATAGTATAAATAAGAGCAAGAACAACAATATTGATTGATTAATCTGTTTTTATGGTTTATCAACCTTTTACAGGTTAT